CTAAGGGAACCAGCCCCTTGGGACCGGCCTCGGGTGTTTCTCGAGCACTATTCTCGACTTCCTGAAGCAGATGACCGGCAGGAAAAAGTCTAGAAAAATTTTGTGATCATAGTCGGTGCCCGGTTGCAAGCTCTTGGGGTGAACGCCACGGTGTGCGTTCGCTGGAAATCGATGTAGCCCGAAACGTTCAAAAACGGCGGGACAACATATATAGTTTTATATATATATATTTATTTTTATATATATATATATATTTATTTTATTTATTTATTCATAAACCTGTCGACGATAGAAGTTACAGCGTCGGAGAACAGGCCAGAATGTGATAGCGGAGCGTTCAGCAGAAAATATTTGTCTTCCCTTTTTTATACCAGACAAATTAAGCCACTGATGTCTCTCAACCATCATAACTGCTACAATAAGCTATGGTACGTTTAGTGCCATTATACGCCTGTAAAATTGTCTTAGAGTACAGGTGAAAAAGAGTGTTTTTTGTTTGTTTGTTTTTTTCCCGGAGAGTTCTTATCTCTTTATTTGTAAGATTGGGGAAAAACAGTTAGCCCGGCACTGAGGTTGTGACCTGTGCTGCAGGAATCATCAAGCTTGCTTTCACTTGCGTTCCTTGCTCATCATGTGGCCAGCTAATGTTAAGTCTGGCCACAGCACGAGTCACAACCTCTACCAGCTCCTCATAGCTTTGGCCGTGAACTGGCGCGCTCAAATCACGGTCATCCGCATCAATACTGAGCACATCCACTTCCTCGGAAGCAGAGAGCTCAAGCATTGGGACCTGATCGTGGGCAGGAGAAGCCGCGATGCGGGCTCCTGTACCACTCTCAGGGGCTACGGGATCCTCAGACGAAGAATGAGAAAGTGCCGCAGCAGTCTCATTCTCATCTGTAAGATCCCGCTGCGAACCCCGCGATCTCAATCGTCGCGCCGCCTCAACGGACGCGGGACCAGAACCGTGGGGAACGCGAGCCTGACCGTGCTCATCAAAGCACGCCAGCCGGGAGCGCAGCACTCTAATAGGAAGTGCTTCACAGTCTGCACAAACAGCTCCCTGAAGAGCTGCTTGTGCATGCTGTGCTCCCAAACAATTCACACACAAAGCATGTGTGTCCCCACCCGTAATAAAACGAGGGCAAGGATGCACACATCTTTTAAATTGTTCGCTGGCCATTCTGATCAACTGATTGACAAACAACACCAAATAAGACAGACAGTTTCAACACAGAGCGCTTGCTGAAGAGCGAAAGCTAGTGTGTGTTGTGACAGTGTCACTTTTATACTTCCGGGTATGCCGTCACATGTTACGTCACGACGCAACACCAATCAGGATTGGATTAGTTTCATTCATACTTCAGAGGCGCACGCTTAGGGAGCGTCCCCAAAGTGTCGATTCTCGACGCAGTGTAGAGTTCCCTCGAAAGGGAACTGCTATTGTGTCACCAATTTTTAAAGGAGGAGATCCCCAGATTATCAGTAACTATAGACCTATCAGCATTTTGCCTGTTGTATCCAAGGTGATGGAGAAGTGGGTTTCAGAGAAAATAGTTTTTTATTTGAACAACAGTGACTTTAGCCTGCATCCTATGCAATTTGGTTTTAGAGCTCACCATTCAACAGAGACTGCTACCCTTTTCCTTCTGGAAAACATTAAATCTATGATGGATACGGGTGGTATTGTGGGGGCAATTTTCTTGGACCTTAAAAAGGCCTTCGACACTGTGAATCATGGAATACTTGTTAACAAATTAGCTTCTTTTAATTTTTCCAATGATACCATTAAGTGGATTGATTCATATTTAAAGGGAAGAACAAATTATGTAAAGGTTCAAAATCATAAATCCACTGCTTATACAAATAATACTGGTGTTCCGCAAGGTTCTATACTTGGGCCATTGCTGTTCAGTCTTTATGTTAATGATTTGCCTTTAGTTTGTCCCGATATAGAAATCCTATTATATGCTGATGATGCTGTTATTTATGTACATAGCAGCACAAAACAGCAAGCTGCTTTAAAACTAACAAGTGCAATGAACTATATCACAACATGGCTTGACAGATCATGTCTAACGTTAAATGTTTGTAAAACAGTTAGCATGTTCTTTTCAAAACGACCATGTAGCGTTCCAGACCCTGACATAATGATATCAGGTCAAAATTTGCAAGTTGTGACTGAATACAAGTATCTTGGTGTTTGGATTGATTCAAATCTCAGTTTTAGAACTCATGTAAAAAGTATGTGCAAACGAGTTAGATTTAATTTAAGTAATTTCAGATTTGTTAGGGAATCATTCAACTTTGAAACTGCTATGATATATATGAATGCCATGATTATCCCGCATTTTACATACTGTTTGACAAGCTGGGCACAAGCTAACAAGTCTACAATGAAGTCACTTGAAAGTCTTTATAAACGTACTCTTAAAGTTTTAGTTCAGAAACCTAATAGTTTTCACACCTGTCAAATTTTAAATACCCTTAGACTTCTGAGTTGGGAAAACTTGATCACTTATAGTAACCTTTGTCTAGTTTATAAGATATTGCATAGCACGGCTCCACCTCCACTGAAGAGATTTGTTATGCAGAGAGCAGGCACTCATGTCACCAGAGGTATCACAAGAGGGGACTGTATCATTCCCACTCGAAAAAGCGCCTTTAGTCAGTCAGCGTTCTCTGTAACTGCAACTAAACAGTGGAATCTATTGCCAAGTCTGATAAGAGAAACAAAGACTTATCGTTCTTTTACTGGTCAGCTTAAGAACTGGCTAATTGATAATCAGAAATGTGCACATTAGACTACTGACTGCCTACTGATAATTGTTGCTTGCTAGCAGATTGTCTTGTGTCAAACTTGTTTATCTCTCATTTTATAGGCTATGTTGTGTGCTGATGTTACTTGTTATTTATTGTTGTGTGTTGTATCTGTCTTATCATTACTTTTCTATGCTGTTATTATTTATGGACTGTAAAGAGTCATTTTTGTTTTTATATCTTGATTTTAGGTTGCCTTCATAATAACTGGCCAGGGACAACAGATGAAAATTAGCCTGTTGAGCTAACTCTGGCTCATTTACAGTTATTTTACTGTTAATTAATGAGCACTGTCCCTGTAAAATAAACAAATAAATGAAATTAAATGAAAAGTCTTCGCTGACACTGGTAAGTTGTTTTTGCCATGGGGGGTTGGGGTCAATAGGTGATTCATTCGTGCATTACATTCAATACTGATTGCAGGGCTGGAGCAAATGATTAGCTACTGGAGAAGTCAAGGTACTGCGTTTCAGTAAAAACAGTCTTTTTTTTAATAAACTATGTACACTTACAAAGTTCTCAATGCCTTGTTTCAAATGTTAGAACCGTAATTATACTACCAACAAAGTGTGGGGCTACTTTGAGCCTTGTTTATGGTTTAAAAAAAGTGATTTATAGGACCGAGCATGATGCCCCTAACACTAATATTGTGAGCCTTTTGCACATATAGGCTAAATGTGGTCTTTAAAGGCAGGCATGACATAAAAAAATGCTCCATGATGAATGGTCAAATTTTTTATCATGTTTCAATATACTTTTTGTCTGTTTCAAACCGGATTTCTCCTGTATGTGGTAAAAAAGGAGCATGTAATTTTAATGAATGCATTTTGTTCAGGTCGTGGACATCAACACAAGGAGGGAATCAGTTCTTAAATGTTTAATCATCTACTTTGGTGAATCTGTTCACCATCTCATCAAGGAAATTCAGGTACGTACATTGCTCAGCCATCCACGCACATACTGTACATACTGGAAGGGCTAAAAAAATTAGAATGTAGTCTAAGTTCAGTAATTTCGCTAAAAAAGTGTAACTCGTGCATTTTATATATATTCATTACACAAAGTGAAATATTTCACGCAATTATGTGCTACTTCTGTTGATTGCAGCTTATAGCTATGGTCACGTATTTTGGCCTCCTTTTGCATGAATTGCTGCATCAGTGTGGTCAGGGCCGGCGCTAGCCATTTGGGTGCCCTAAGCACAAATGCTTGGTGGTGCCCCCCCACCCCACTCACCCCCTCACCCACCCAAGGAATAACAACCATTCAGAATTTCTTAGTCTGATGAAGCACAATATAATAATTCTGTACATAATTTGTAGGGCTGGGAAAAGATTAATCGCGATTAATCGCATCCAAAATAAAAGTTTGTGTCTACATGAATGATATATGTGTGTGTACTGTGTATAATTATTTTGTATATACACTACCGTTCAAAAGTTTGGGCTCGGTACGATTTTAAATACTTTTAAAAGAATTCTCTTCTGCTAACCATGGCTGCGCTTATTTGATTAAAAATACAACAAAAATCAGTTATAGTATTAAATATTATTCCAGTGTAAATCAGCTGTTTTCTGTGTGAATATATAGTAAAGTGTAATTTATTCCTGTGATCAAAGCTGAATTTTCAGCATCACCAGTGTCAGTGTCTTCAGTGTCAAATGATCCTTCACAAATCAGTATAATATGAGGATTTGATGCTCAAGAAACATTAATTATTATTATCAAATTTTGAAACAGTTGTTGGTCTGTCAGTTGTACAGTTTTTTTTTTTTTTTTTTTTTAGGATTCTTTGATGAATAGGAAGTTCAAAAGACTTTTGTAACATTATAAATGTCTTTACTGTCACTTTCAATCAAATTAACTATTCCTTGATAAATAAAAGTATTGATTTCTATCCTCCAAAAAATAAAAATAAAATTCTCACTGACCCCAAACTTTTGAACGGTAGTGTATATAAAAACACATTTGCATGTATGTATTTAAGAAATATTTGTTATTTATATATAAAATATTTAAATCCTAAATTTAATAAAAAATATACTGAGATCATTGCATTAAACAGATTCACCGACTGCATGGCAGAGGCATAAAACCTTTTAATTGCTTCCAGAAACACACTTTTACATTACACGTTTCACATTTATTCCTTAAAGCTGTTTCTGCACAATATTCGCTGCTTAGCGCTTTTTTTTGAGCACATGGCGCTTTTGAGCGCGTCTCTCAGTGGCAGCGGGGGTCTGTAGAGTTGAAGAAGAAGACGCCACCGGAAGCTTTTGTTGCTGTAAACTCTCCCCAGAGACCGAAAGTTCATCCATGTACTGCTGCAGATTGATCTTCAGTTGTTCATTCTCCTGTAACAGAAGCCCTTTCTCTCGCTTCAGACACAAACTGTCAAGCTGAACCTTGTTGTAACGTTGCCAAAACGTCCCAAGAGGAGAATAGTCATGTATTAGCTGTGGACAGAGGATAGGACAAGGGGAGAAAAGTCAAAAGACAACACAAATGATATAATGAATTTAACAGATGACTAGAATAATGCAAAAGAACTGCTAGTACACATCAAATTAAAGTAATGAATCTGCATGAAAAATCTGAAATGACTTCCCCCAAAGCGACATATATCCGAGTGAAACAGGATATCCATTGAGAAAATAAAGATCTGGAATTAACTGGATTGTAAAAAGCGGCCACTCCATGTGAAAATGATGGCAGATTTAAAAGCAAGTTTACAGTGGTTTGTGGGATTGTGATGGAGTGTGATTTGAATAAACCTGAGGGAGTTTCTCATTCGTCGACTTCATGGCATTGGCTTTCTCCTGACTCAGCTCTTCTTCACTCAATGATGATTTGTAGAAGGGCAGAACCTTCTCGTGCTCCGTCTCCATCTTTCTGCACAGCTCAGAGCGACGCATCAACCTTTCCCCCTATGGAAGAGACAGAGTGGGTGACTGACTGGATGTTGCTGAGAGTATTGCTAAAATGAATTCACTTAGTTCCAGAATGACATAATCTCTACTTCCAAAAAATATACAAAACGCATCCCTGTTGCAAGAAAAATAAAAAAATATTCCTGGTCTACTAATGATACAAGACACAGTTTCTCCTGTTTTTTTTTTATGCATAAAATGCTTAAATGTAAATGTATCATTAAAGGGCATTCTGTGTTCTGATATGGTTTTGCATGTAGCATGAAATTATGATGTTTTTGATATGTCCATGATTCTCATTTTCAGCATGTAAAACATATATAAATATAATAGAATTTTAAATGTTGGTCATTACAGTTATTGGCCAGAGGGTGAAAATACTGTATAAAGCAATCCCAAATTGCATCTCACCAAGTTCCAACATCCTTGTTGATCCTGGAACAACATTCCAATCAACCAATCAGATTCAAGGGCTAGGCTTACAGTTAATGTCCAGTTTAGGCTGATAACAATGGTTAGTGGTTTTTGGACAGAAATGTTGTTGCAGGATCAACAAAATGTAACTATTACTTGAAGGCATAAAGCACTTGTTTGGAAAATTGTAAAAAAAAATTAAAAAAAATTAAATGAGTGTATATATTAAATGTGGGTGTAATAAATGTACCAAAGCGTTTGTCTCCTGTAGTTTTTTAGCAGCATTGTTGCTTTGAATGGTAAGTTTAGTGAGCTGCTTCCTCCGAGTGGTTCGGTCCGCAGCGAGCTGGACTCTGCGATGTTGAAGTTTCTGGGCGAGCTTGTCACGGTCTGAACGAAGCTGCTGATTTGTTCCTTCGCTTTGACTAGAGCTCAGCTGACAGCGCTGAGCTGTGATGGCCTCCTGCAAAAGTTTTGTACAGTTTAAATTTCAATTACAGTAAATCATCAAAATGATGAAATATCACAATTGGAAGGAAAGTGCTTGTCCAAAGTAGTCAGAAAAAACTGAATTTTTGTCTGACCTGCAACTCCTGAATCTGCTTATTATGTGCGTCAATCTCTTTTTCACTCTGTTTATTCTTGAGATCCAGAGACTCATATGCTTTAGACAAGCTTTCGATAGACTCTTTGTGTTTGTGTAAATCCTTCAGCTCTCGCCACAGTTTATCCACTTCTCCTTTCTTCTCGGCTTTTTTAGACATGTTTGCTGACTGTGGATCACAGATTCAAAAGTCCTCAAAAGAGAAGATGTATTTTATTACACAAAATCAGAACTGGCTTGTCAATACAGACAGACATACAGACAGACAGATAGATAGATAACGATAGATAGATAGATAGATAGATAGATAGATAGATAGATAGATAGATAGATAGATAGATAGATAGATAGATAGATAGATAGATAGATAGATAGATAGATAACATAGATAGATAGATAGATAGATAGATAGATAGATAGATAGATAGATAGATAGATAGATAGATAGATAGGCAGATAGATAGATAGATAGATAGATAGATAGATAGATAGATAGATAGATAGATAGATAGATAGATAGATAGATAGATAGATAGATAGATAGATAGATAGATAGATAGATAGATAGATAGATAGATAGGTAGATAGATAGACAGACAGATAGATAGATAGATAGATAGATAGATAGATAGATAGATAGATAGATAGATAGATAGATAGATAGATAGATAGATAGACAGATAGACAGATGGAGATAACATAGATAACATAGATAGATAGATAGATAGATAGATAGATATATAGATAGATAGATAGATAGATAGATAGATAGATAGATAGATAGATAGATAGATAGATAGATAGATAGATAGATAGATAGATAGATAGATAGATAGATAGATAGATAGATAGATAGATAGACAGATAGATAGATAACATAGATAGATAGATAGATAGATAGATAGATAGATAGATAGATAGATAGATAGATAGATAGATAGATAGATAGATAGATAGATAGATAGATAGATAGATAGATAGATAGATAGATAGATAGATAGATAGACTCTGGGCTTCTTCGTTTAGGGGTTACACTTAGCTTCCTCCCGGTCAAAACCAATCAAATATAATCTTGTTCAATAATATTTTTATTATTATTTTGAATTTTTAAAGATTTTTATGATACTTTGCATTAATTATATAATTTTTATGAGCTATTTTTTTCCATTAGAATTAATATAATATTTTCCTATTATAAAAAAAATTTTTTCAATAAATGCAGCATTTCACATCAAAATAGAGTGCAGGCAAAAAAAATAATAATAATTCAAGTGAGAAGAGCGCCATCCAGTGGCTTTAAAAATATATAAAAGTGTGAAATGTCCTGTAACGCCTGTAGCTGCCTATATAAATACATAGAAAGGCTTTTTGATTCCTATTGTTGTTTTAGACATGATTTCTCTCTCTTATTCGTTTTTTTTTATTTAGATATATATTTAGATATTCTAAAATACTTTTTTAGAATAGTATTAGGTTTTGCATTATGATTACAATCAAACAATAACATTTGGTTAGAAAGGGAACACAATGCAAAGATTTGTGTTACTCAGTATTTGATAAAGCTGTACACTTTTTTTCTGCACAGTGGCTGATCTGTAGTTTGTTCCACCAAAAGTTTCTCTGAGTTTTCCTATTTTTTCGTATTTCCCAATAGTTTCCTATGGTCGGTCATTTTTGAGCGGGAGGAAGCTAACGTTAAGTGTGACTATTTTTTTACGACCCTTTAACATATCCGAATCATCTCCTTGATTATTTTGTGTGTTCATAGGTAATCTACAACCAAAGTCACCAAGTTTCATCCCCCTCCGATGAAGCAAAAAAAAAAGAAACATTTCAAAACGTAACAGTTTTCGGTCATTTTTGACCGAAGAAGCCCAGAGGGTTAAACTTTTTCCGTGCAGTAAGCTGTAGAAATTGAAAAAGATACACAAAACGTGTCCATTTCTAATATTTACAATTGTGGTTGGTAAAAATAATAATATTTTAGCGCCACTAGCATTATTTCCCATCGTCTTACCTTGTGATGTCCGCCTGTGAAAGTTGACCGTTTCCTAGCAACCACCAACATATTTCCAGCGGTGCGCGCGTATCTTTCAAATCACTAAAATAACAGTTGATGTCCTTCTGACACTAGATAAAAAGTCAAACGATTCCAAATGTATTCCCCCCCCCCCCCCCCCCCCCGGCAAAATCAATATCATATAGGCCTATTATTGTCCAATAATAAAAAAAATTTCAGCCAAAATCAATATCATATAGGCCTATTATTGTCCAATAATAAAAAAAATTTCAGGCAAAATCAATATCATATAGGCCTATTATTGTCCAATAATAAAAAAAATTTCAGGCAAAATCAATATCATATAGGCCTATTATTGTCCAATAATATTTTTTTTTCAGGCAAAATCAATATCATATAGGCCTATTATTGTCCAATAATATTTTTTCCCCCGGCAAAATCAATGTCATATTGGGCCTATTATTGTCCAATAATATTTGTATATTTTACCACCTTGATGCTTAAATAGGTAACTGTTTATAACTGTTTACTTATTTAAAGTCAAGAGTTTTGTTTGATTATCATTACAACATAAATTTGCTACATTCCAGTAGAACCGCAGCCGCTGCACAAACGACAAAAACTGATGAAGGAAGATTGTCAGCCGATTGCATCAGAAAATGAAAATGAAGAAGCTCGTCTTTAGTCTGCTAAATTATTGTGTAATGTAAAAGAACACTAAAATTACTTAAGTTTGAAACCAAGATCGAACATTTCAAGGTTTAAATAGTGTCGGGGCAGTTTTTTTTTATTTTAAACAGGGTTGCATCGGGTTTAGAGTTTATTTCTTTTGCGATGCTAAATAAGAAACAATAGGCTAATCTTATTCTTGCGACATTTTAAATTTGTATTGCCAAAGAAATTACAGCTAAATTAAACAATTAAAACAGTACAAAACGAAAATTGTCCAAAGAAACATATTAAATTAAAAACATGCGTTTTTCTTTGCCTCTCTCGCGCTGGATCTCTTTTTAACAAGTTTGTTTAGTCTCCCTCGCTGCGCGCGCCGGGTCTCTCTCGAAATTAAACATTTCAGGGTAAAAACACATCATACAGCTGATAATACTGTATATGTCGCTGCGTGTCAGCCATTCAAATCACGAAATAATTATTTAGCCTTTAATTGTTGCTTCAAAGACACAGCATGCCTTGTTGAATTCACCTTACATTATACTTTCTGATATCATCTCATTCAATCCTGTGGTTTTGTAACATAGAAACCTGCATTTTCTGTAAAGCTGCCTTGAAATTATATGTATTGTGTAAAGGGTTATACAAATGAATGTGTGAATTAAATTGAATTGACTTGAAAGTGCCATTGCATGGTTTATGGACCCAATCTGACAATACAGAAGAGCTATCACATTGTTGGCCCATTTGGTTTTATGATGATTTATACCCTGCATCTGTGCTTGAATATAATCATGCACAATTTCAGATATTTTTACTGTATAACTTTGAAATCATGGACCCATGAAGTTGACATAGTACAGTTAGAAGAGCCATTGCATTGTTGGCTCAACTGGGGGCTCTATATCTCAGCTGTGTTTGAGGGAGCGTTAAAGGTGCACCGGGGCCTTTATACCCATTGTGCTTGCCTGTCACCCTGCACAAGATTAGACTTTTTTTTACTGTTGCATTTTGAGGTTATGCACCCATGAAGTTGACAGATGTCAACTATGCAGTCATAGGAGAAGTTGCAGTTTTGATTTCAATTGCATTTTCTGCCCATTACGCGGCGCTGTTTCTCGGCCGGCTCAGAGGATGCGTTAAAGTGGACATGAGTACATTATAGTAGAGCTACTCCTCGAACGAAACCCAAAATTTGAGCAATTATTACTGTGGAATCTTGTTTTTATGAAGCTTTGAACTTTGCACTTTACACAATGCACAATGAGCCGCCTATTGCATTTTCTGGCCATTTCGCGGCGCTGTTTCTCGGCCGCCTCAGAGGGTGCGTTAAATTGGACATTGTCCCATAATATGACAGCTGTTCCTCTAATGAAATCCAAATTTTGAGCAGTTTTTACTGTATAATTTTTTTTAATGAATTTTGCATTTTACATAGTGCTCAATAAGCCGCCCAATGCATTTTCTGGCCATTTCGCAGCGCTGTTTCACGGCCGCCTCAGAGGGTGCGTTAAATTGGACATTGTCCCTTTATAGTAGAGCTATTCCTCTAATGAAATCCACATTTTGAGCAGTTTTTATCCCGCTTCTGGTATTTTTGTGGTTTTGACGAAGACATTTTCCTCTCAGTAACATTCAGATATAAAAACATAAAATTAACTTGCTAGGGTAGCAGATATGGTAATTCGCAACAAACCTCCGTATTCTGTTTAACACACATGTGTCAATTACAAGGCCCGCGGGCCAAACACGGCCCGCCACGACTTTAAATCAGGCCCGCCAACAAATTATGGTGATCAATTTATAATGTGGCCCGTGCGCTGTTTAAAAATACGGCTGTGAATATTACAACACCGCGTTTCCATTACCCTTCAAATTGCGCAAATTGAAATTGCGAATTGAAAATACGCTCAATGGAAACACGCCCATTTCCCAAAAACTCCCGTTTAGGCCTATCGCAAAAAAGTTTTTACGCTCGCAGGAGGTTTTTCAGGCAATTCGAAAAAGGAATATTTCGCAAAACTGCAATGGAAACAGGTTTTGCGCATTTACAGTCAGCTGACTTAGAAGACGCAGGGATAATAATAATAATTATCATCATTATTATAACATTTATTAGGCTACATATGTAGAAGACGCTTTTATCCAAAAAAGGAACAAAGCAATTCGTCACATCTCATTCATAATACAGGGCTAAGATTATCACAAATATAGGCTAAACAAGATTTTGACCTATATCCAAGTGTGTGTGCGAGTGTGGAGCGCGCACTGGATGGCGTGGGCGCGAACACTTGCATTTTCCTATCAACAGTGGAAACAACTTAAAATACACTATCATTTCTGGTCATACAGAAAATAATAATACATTATTCGCAACTACTTTGTGTAAACTCACAATAACAAGAAAACGTTGTGCTTTTGTAAAATAAAATAAAACAATCAGGCGCGCTTCATGGTCTCCGTGAACTGAAGCGCTAGAACTGAAACAAAATATAGCCTAAGCTAAAGCTTGAAATGTCCACTTTAAAACGAACAAATTCGAATCGAAAGCTAATACCTTCTGATTATGTAATCCGTATGAAAGGTGCATTTCTCTCCAAAGGTGCATCCGCCTTACAGTGGAGATGTTTTAGCCGACACTGATTTTTTATTAATAAACAATTAAAATATCTTGTTATTTTTTCATACACATTTATTATAGCCTATAACTCACCTATAAATCACCTTTCTGTGGGCTGTGGACCTGTGGTTATACGGCTCTTCTCATTCAGCACTGCGGGAAAAATATAATTTCCAGGTTCTAATTTGGCCTTAGAAAACCAGTAAAATCTAATTTTTTTCATATTAATTTGTCAATATTTTAAATGTTTAATAAAGGGGCAAAAAGTCATAAACAAAAATCTGAAAATTCGTCGATATTTTTTTTTTTTTTGCGCAGCATTTGGTTTGTGCAGTTCAAATAAAAATTTTGGTGTTCAACTTTGCGTTTTAAAAATACAACCATTCATTTTTCGTTTTGCAATTACGGGTTAAATAAGGAAAAACGAATGGACACAAAAGTACACTGACCGTTTGGACGTAATACAAGACAGAGTTCTTTCTTAAATTCATAAAAGAAACAATAATTACAGGAATACTGGATTCTAAACCTCAAAGAAATGCCACAATCAAGACCTCGGAGCAGAAATGAGGGAGAAACAGCCAGGAACTCTTAGGCTACATGTGCCGTTCGCAGTATAAGGGTCTGCCATTAATGCTTGGATAACACACCACGTCTCCTTCCATTAATAATAATAATGTCTAGAGCGGTGGCTGTGATATCTATAAACCTACCAACATCCGTTACCATGATTTTTGGAATGACTTATCGCGAGAGCATGGGCGGCGCTAGGGAGGGGCTAGCAGGTGCTTCAGCACCCCCAAGAAAGACCAAAGCACCCCGATAGCACTCCCCAAAATAATGTTGCCAGGGAGGCTGAACAGGTCCTTCAAATTAGGTAATGTTGAACACATTTATTTATAGCTGATTTGCTAATGAATGTATCCTTAGTTTATGTTTTATCAACTCTCCTTAAAGTCCTTCCTCTCAAATAATTTGGTCACGGATCATTTTTAACACACTGTCTCAACATGTATATATTTCTCTTTGTTTCAGCTGAAAAGGAAGTGCTGTCAAGGGCTTGTTAAACCTGTCTTCGTGGAGAGGGATGAATTCGGCCATCTTGTGCGTTTATGGAGAAGGAAAAAAGCTGCAAAGGCAAATGTTTCCAATGGTATGTCTGTGTTGGTCTTAACCCTTGATTGAACATTACTGCAGTTACATTTTGCACAGCATTTGATGTTTCTTAAACTTTGTTTTACATACTACACTACCCCATCAGTAAAGCGTCACTTCTGATGTAGAAATAGTTCATACAATTGACCAAGTCAGCAAATTCATGTGATATTGTGCAAGTGCACTCGTACAAAATTCTATAACTTTTACTCCAGCTGCTGTCATTGGCCATTGCCTCAACTCTCTTGCAGATTCTGCCCATTAAGTAGTCGGGACG